AGTAGATACTGATAATGACAATAATAAGGTAGGTAATTGGTTTGTATTCAGGTTAAAAAAATGCTTAACATAAAAAATATTAAAATATTAATGTGGTATTATTGGTATTGCTCAAGATGTATTTATTTCATATTAATTTTCAAATAGATTGCAATCATTGTATTTTACATTGTATCAAAGTTGGACCAAGTTTGTCGTATTCCACCTATGGTGGATTAATATAATCAGTTAATACAAAATCCTAACCACACTATATAATATCAGATGAATAAGAAAAAACCAAATTTAACCATTTTTAAATTAGGCTGTCTTCTTCCCAGAGTTCTAATCTACACACAAACATTAATTTATTCATATATATTGACAAAAAACAATAATACAAATCAACGTTTACCCAATTAACCAATAGCAACAAATATAATTTATAATAAACTGTAGCGCCACCGTTGTACTCCAGATTTCCTACTTTTCCGGTGGATTTTCCTAAAATTGTCTTTCTTATTAACCTCGTTATTAACCTTCTCCCGGCAATTTCGAATATCTTAACAACAATTTGAGCCAAATCGGACCAGCCGTTCTCGATTGATGAGGTAACTATCATTTTTCACGCTCCATTTTTATTTATATAGATTATGATGTGCAGATTGCTTACGAGTGTTGTGAATGGGTGAAATAGTCACTCAAATCACCGAGGTACACACAAACTTAACCATTATTTATAATAATAAGCTTATTATACATTTATACCCTAAATAATTATTGTACAACGCATATAATAAAACATTATAATATATCTATGTAATAATATAGTATAATATAAAGTAAATGTATAAATATTCAGTCAAATGTAATTTGGTGAAGTTAAAATATTGAGATGCTTGTTAAGAGCTTGAATCTGGGTAAAAAAAAAAATAGAATTATAAACCTAACTGATGGTAGCTGGCTGAAAAGAAATAAACATTTAAACCACAGATACTACTTGACAGGTCGGTCGTATCTATATCGACGTTGAATAATAAACAAATATTATAATTATTTAGTTTACCTAAAAAAACAATATGTACCTATTTTATTATATTTTATATCTGTATATCCAGGGATTGTGTGACACTAATAAATTATAGGTAAAAACCAATTTTTCTTTTTGGAATTTATAAACGAAGGTTATGTTGATTTATGATACACCCGAGTCTGCGTGTTTTTATTAATTTGTTGCTGATGATAATTCTATTGTTGAAATTGTGTGAGTATGTATTATTATAATTTCTTAACTGGTTGATGTTAGGTACTTGATTAAACGATGATAGATTTTAAGATGAGAGTTTGACAATGTTAGGTTTTATCGAAATAACGTAAGCACAATTTTGATATGAGTAAAAGTTATTTTAATAATTCACAACAAGATATACAATTTGAACGAGTACGTTAAATTAATAATCGCAGTATAATTTTGGTATCGAAATAAGACGGTGTGTGTGATAGTGTGCTACTGAGCTCCGACTCAACTGAAGGGAGCAGACCGTTCTAAATATCGAAATGGGGGTTCTACTTATATTATTGACCTTTATTGATACCTTGATGTTCCATACTAAATTTTTATTGTTTATTTAGCATAAGTGCATGGGTAAAATCAAATATATATAATATGGTTATTATTTATTAGTTGTTTTTGGATATATTTTATATTAATATCAGGGTAGGTATATGGCTACAGATATTTTTTATGTTTTGATAGTGTTTATTAGATATTGTGTTGTCATTTGATTTCACAGTGAGTATGAATGTTGTTGTTGTGTATAATTTTGGGTATCTAATATAATTTTTACCTACATGGGCAGATATTTATTGTGGTATTTTGGTAATGACATATTTAATAGTATTATGATGGTATTGAATCATGAAGCTGTGTTGGTAAAATGATGTAGATATCATTACAGTAATCGACTATCAGTCGTCTTAGGCTCCTTTTTTATTTCTTATTTACATAAAATATCGTCTGATTAATCTTAAAATGTCAAGCAATATTATTTGTTTTACTGACGAATGACGATACATTATAGTTTCTGCAATTGAACATAAAATATATTGATGAATATTGAATTATACCTAGCGATTTAAAGCACTTACATGTATAATAATATTTTTATATTTACGATAATTTAATAATGTTATTCATAATATGAATATTTAAATCGACAGAAACTCAAAACCTTTAAGAAACTAAATATTTAACTCAACTTTAACTTTTATAATCATTAATGCACAGCATAAGTATAATTAATGACTATACTTCATTATAACAAGGATATATATAGATTTTAATTGAATACCTATCACAATCAATAATTAATAGATTATCGTAACAATATCAGCTGCCACCGATGTTTTAAACTTCCTTTCAAACTTTTGTTCTCGAAAACTTAGAAATCCCAGATGAAGCAAAAGAAAATTGTTTTTGTGTAACGTATTTACAAATAAATAACATTATCTCCCCCGTCGGGACCCACCTTGTTGTGGTGGGGGAGCTTGCGGGCCTTTAATTAGGTCTTACCAAGCGGTCCCAACCCGGCTGTGACCTTAACCGGTTGAAGTCGGAGCTTCAAGAGCCGCCCTTGCCTTAAGCAGCTGGGGTCGGCAGGTTGGAGGTAGCCTGCTAGCGCTAGCAAAGCCCTAGTGGAAGGAAAACCACGATAAAAAATTCTGAGCTGGCCCTTTCTCTGAATAAGTGATAGGAGAGAGGGCTGGTAAGGTCGGAGGCAGCCTGCTCCCGCTGAGCGAATGCCCTAGTGGAAGAAAAACCATGATAAAAAAACCCTTAACCCCCAACTCGTAAAGGGGGAGTACTTGGCACGGAGGTCAGTGAAACGTGTCTACGAGGACCCTGTGGAGGACCAGGCAACCTTCCACAGTAGCCTATTTTGGCAGCCTTCACTGCGGTACGCTGCACTGCCGCAGTGCGACTTTTATATCATGCATACTCGTGGGAATCATATGGAGAACCTCAAAAAACCAAACCAACTTGATACAATGGACAAAACAAACGCATCGGAAAACAGCAACAATGGAGAATATGGAAAACTTAAAAACAAATATGGCATTAGGAACACCCTTCAGAAAGTGGGGTCGTCTACTTATACTAAAAAGGTAAATTTTTCTCGTAGTTACGATTTACAATATTTCCAGTACAATTTTTCTTCTAAATACGTAGATGTTTATTTTGTACGCAAACTCAAATTTTATTTTTAAATTATGATATTCTATACACTTTATACACATAATATTATATATTATACATCATGGAGTATAAGAAAAAATATGACTGACAGTCAAAGACACTATATTAATGAAAATCCATCTGGACTTATTTAAGGCCCTTGCATATACCGGCAAGAACGTAGCTGTAGCTACCAACAAGACTTTAAATGACTACAAGCGAAAACGATCATCTTATGAATATGATGACCATCATAATAGAAAATTGTCGCGAACCTCAACATCCGCACTCGATATCCATCATGTAATTGGTAAGTAATATACACGTCAACCACCCAAAGACATAATAACGAAATATACCTATACCTAAATTATACGGTCGATATCAGTGCTTCACTATTTTAGAGCCTAACCAGAGCGATGCTTGTATTGATTTTTTCATGGTGTACCTACGCAGTGTTGAGAATAGATACAAAAAACATTTAATTTAGATAGGATACAGATAATTATATATCTATTTATTAAGAATTCTGGATATAAACCAGTTATCTAGGTAATACAGTAGATAAAACTAATTTGTATTATATTTAAATAATAAATATACAACAATGCAGGATGTACCTATGGGTTTTTTTCTCAATATTTGTGTCTGTATACACGATAGGTAGTCAAAAATAATGTTTCGATTTTCAACTTCAGAACATATAGGTACTTGTTTCTTGTGAAAATTTAGAATATTGTTGGTGCGTTTGGGAGATCAAAACTAAAAAATTCAAAGTAATTTTTTAAAGCGTCTTGGAAAAAAAATTAAAGAAAAACGAGAATATAAACGCAAAATCGATTTTGGTTTTTGATGCAACTCTAAAAAAATTAGCATAACATAAATATTAAATTTGATACATTATATCACTTTACATATTATTATTGTTATTATTCACAATTTATTTTGTAGTTAAATATGTATAAAAGGTTCAATTTTTATTGCCAAAGATTGCAAATTTAAAACAAGTACCTATTCTCATAAATAGTTCGTACTACTACCAACAAATCTAAATATTATGTAAACACAGTATTTTTGTTATAGACATTTTAAATTCAAATTTTAATAATATTAGATATTTAAACGAAGCATAACGATTTTATGGCTATAACTTATTTTGTTCTTATTAAAAATATTATACACGAGTACTTGAAACTTAAATTAATTGTACCTACTGTAATTTCCACTATAATGTCTAATAGTTAAATAAATTACATAAATCACAATAAAATCATAAAATGTGCTTAGTAATATTGGTATATAATTATTCATAGACTGACAAACAGTCTTTGCACAGATTCGTTTTGCGTAGGTACCTATATATATCTACACTGATTTTATATCCCATTGAATTCAAATTTAATTCATCAGTTCCTCGGTTTTTTTTTTTTAATAACATCACACAACTATTAGAAATAGGATAGGTAAGTTGTTTTTTTTTTTTTGAATTGAGGAGTTGGGCCTATTTAGAGCACGTACACTTTTTGGAGTTACTATCGTAGAAATAAATAGATGTAGATATATAATATGTTACGGGCTAAGTAGAAAAATTGCCATTGTAAACATTGACCATTAGTTCTATACAATGACAGAGTTTCAAGCCTGATTCCGTGTGGATAATTATATACATACACGATAGATGGGGTCGGATCACTGTTTCTTATTGTCCGTACATTTTGTTAATTCTACTAAAATCAAACTGCCCTTCTTCATGATAACTTCATTGTCAATATCATATCTAGACATCATGCCGAACGATAATGTACCAAATAGTAATGACAAGTCAACTATTGATAAATCTAAAGCGGATTTAGTAACTAGTGTAATACGTCACCATCATCTGAGCGTACCTTTTACTCACGTACCACCTGAGGATAGCGACAAAAACATTAAAAAAGTAACAAAGGATAATTATTATTTCATTCAGTATTTATTAATATATTATAATTTTTACAGGGGAAGTATGGAAAACCACCCATTTCTGGATCGAAGTACTTACTCGATGTCAAGGGAGACGTTAATGTTCCACTTTCACTTCCAAGAGCTGCGGGAACAAAAAAAAAAAGAGTATTGACTGAGACCAGCGACAGAAAACTTAAAAAAGTAATAAAGATGAATTATTTTTTTTTCAGTATGTATATATTAATATATTGTAATTTTTATAGGAAAAGTATGAAAAACTATCCAATGTGGGTTCAAAGAATCAACGTGATGTCGCGGAAGACGGTAATGTCTCTCCTTACTTCTCACCACCCCCTCCCCCCAAACACATCGACCAATTAGAGGTAGTGTTCGGTGGGCCGGTGGGACACTGCTATCTCCAAGGAGAAATCAAAATTATTTAAGCAAAGTGCTGAACTTAATGCACTAAGTGTGAACGGAATATGATCTGGTGTGTTTAATTTTGATCCTTTGCATGTTGCATGTTTGTATTTACGTTCTTTTGAGTATATTAATCAAACATAGTATGTATAGATACCAAGTACCCATAGGCCATAGTACTCGGAGAGCAGATTACGAATGGAAAATTAAAAATAAATAAATTCCAATTTTGAAGCAATTATGGCTAGTGAATACCAGGGAATGATATTTACGTATGATATATACTAGTGAATGATATTTACGTCACACTTTTATTATTTTAATAATTTAATAGCAATATTTTTAGCAATGACATAATATAAAATAATACGTCTTAAAAAAGTGTAGGTATATCATAAATAGGTTAGTTTATATTATTTATAAGCAAAACCATATAAAATAAAAAATACACATATGCAGTAAACGTATAAATAAAAACGTCATTGCTCTTTTAGACACATCTTTAGAAAATATATATTATGTTATATGGCACTATGGCAGTACTCAATGCTCGTCAATATTATGTGGATGATTTTAATTTACAAAATAATAATATTCTCAATTTCACATTAAAAACAATGTTGATAATTATTTAAATTTAGTATTATTTGTTTATTTTATTTCATTTAATTTCATAAATACATATGAAAACTGGGCCGCACAGAGAAAATTTGGGTTATATATTAAAAATTAAAATGTTTTCATCCTATTTTATTACTATAATATCGGTTTAAGACAAACTCCATATTACATTAGAACTGGTTGAAATACCGTATAATTCTGGATATTGTTCATTAAATTACAGGAAAAATAAGCATAATATTATATTATTATTAAGCGAGATTACTTGTTCATGCTGTATTTTTAAACAGTATTAATATATGTTCTGCCATTTACCAACTTTAACAATTTATATTAGTGACCATTTATGCTGTACTTAACTTTTTTGGCTTACTAACCAGTCTTAGTAGTTAGTAATAAATATTAAATACAATTTTCAGTTCTGGAAAATATGATCCTACCTGAGGCATCAGACTTACCATATGGAGTGGTGAACGATGATATAAAAATATGTAAACGGAGTAGAACACTGGAAAAGAATGTAAAATTAAAATTATTTATTTTATTTTAATATAACATGACGTCTTATACTTGTCATATTTTTATAATTGACATTTGTAGAGTACAATTCAAACTCCAGTAGTATGTCCGAGTGTAATAAAATTGGGAAAATTTGAAGTGGAGACTTGTTATTTATGTCCATTCCAGCAGGAGGAGAATGCTGAGAGATTAATATTTTGTGAATTTTGTTTAAAATACACTAAATGTCAATCGATTTTAAAAAGACATAAACGACACTGTAATTGGAAAACAACACCGGGCACAGAAATCTACCAAAGTGGAGATTTAAGCGTTTTTGAAGTAAATTAATTTTATGAAACAATTCATAAGAGATAAACTATACAATTGTTTATTTTTTTTTTGTTCAAACAGGTTGATGAAAAAGTAGACAAAACGTATTGCCAACAGTGGCGGAGACAGAATTTTAATACCAGGTGGGCCAGGCTGAGGCCCAAATTTTTTAGGGAGGGCCAAATAAACATGATATATTCATGTATATGTATAAACAATAGTGATACATGACAGGCCCTTGTGCAGAGAGGGGGTAAACCCCCATCGCTTCAATTTTTTTTACACTTCATCGTGTAAATTTACTAAAACAATGATTTGTAAACATATTGTGATAATAGTATTTTTTTCCTAACAAAATATATATTTTTTAATTTTTATACTCCCTAACCCAAAATTACATTCAATACTAAGTACACCATCAGGCATCAATTTTAGTGATATTGAGTCCCTTTAACTATTAAAAACATAAATAAAAATATTTTAAACTAACAATAAACATTATATGTTCCAATTCAAATAAACAATTCAATGAACATATTTTATTAAAAAAACATATAAATATAATATTTTAAGATAAAATCAAAAACAACCATGTTTAAAGTTTAAATTGAACAATTAAAACCTCTTAATATCAATTATTTGTTTCTCTTAATACAGCAATAAAATATATAATAATATAACATACACTGTATCGTTTCAATAAATTTTCGAAGTAACTTTTGTAAAATATATGTCTGTGTGAAATCATTGTAAAAAAAATTAATTTCTATTATTATCAATAATTTCATAATATTATTTTATAATGTTACCGCTTAACAGCATGTCAAGCGTCTTGTTGTTGTTGTTGTTGTTGTTGTTGGCAGTCATGACAGTGCACAAGACAAACGCAGGAACAAGTCTAGACGCCCCCGGAACCGCAGTAAGGTTCAGTCTCCAGGAGGTCATCGGCCCGAAGGCGACCTGGACATCAGTCGGGCGGCTTCAGGTCCTCTGCCGGACGACGGTCGAAGACGTTGTTGGAAAGGCCCGAAATTATTATGATCATGTCTTGTGTCTTGCCAAAAAAATGGCCTCCACCTTCTTCCAACGCTCTACGGTGTTCGTCGCAAACTCCCGGAAGACGATGTGGACTGCATCAGTCAGACTGCTCCACGTGATGCGTCGGACGACGGTGGACGACGTTGTTGTCAGAGCTCGAAAAATGGCCCCCTCCCTCTTAAGACGCTTGATGATCGTCGTCGCAGACACCCTGGAGGGAAAAATAATTTACGCCAGGCTGTTGCCGCGAATCTCTGGGCTGTACTGCGACGGCCGTACGACCTTTAATGCTTTAAGATTTATTCACGACGTCGAAAAAATCGTCAAGTGAGTGTTTTTGATGTGTAAACATCTATGCTATCGGTTTGTAGTACGACCTTCTTGGGGAATCGAGCGTCAGGCGTAAGTCATGTAGATGTGACTGCTTGAGTGTGTGTGTGTGTGTGTGTCGTCGCCATAGCGCTAAAATCGCAGAACCAATAAACCAGGCGAGTTGCTTATCTATTATTTTCTTTGTTATTTTCACGAGTCTGGTAGGTGCGAACGGGCTCTGGTACAGTCGTCGGCCGATTCATTATTATTATTAATATTATTTATTATTCTCGTTTACGCAAAACCGTGTTTGTATCGTATAATATGTATAATACAAATTCCCACTCAAACCATGGCATTATATTCCCCAATCAAAGTCGTACTACAGCTAAGATGTTTACACATCATTCGTGAGTACAGAGGCACTCACATTTTCGTATTACAGTCGTTTTAAGTCGTTGTTTAGACAAATTTAATATTCATTCAGAGTTAGGTACTTGCAACACATCGAGTGATGACCACATCGTTATAGGACGGAAGACCGTAGGTGTTTAAGACGTGTAGGTACTTAAATATAAACAAACCCCAACTTAAATGAGGTGGGTAGTTATTTTTTTTGTCCGTATAACGCGTTTTTGGGCATTAAATAGATAATTTTTTCTATATCAGTTGTAACGGGATTCTTTATAAATTTATTTTTATTGCTAGAAAGCTTACATGTTTCTTTTTCATGGATAACTGTATTTTTGAAAGAACTGTTTAAGTGCTTATATACCTACAATTATTGTGATATTTATGCATATGATACTAATCAATTAATACATACTGTTTTTGAAATGAAATGTAGGTAATTTCATTAATTAGTAGAATTTGCTATTACTCTCTTAGTTCTTACACATGTGCACGAACAGCAGCTAGTGTCTCAAATTATAGCCCGATTATTTAATATTAAAGTGATATAAGTACCTAGTACCTACACAAAAACGAGTTTTGGACAAAAGTTCATTAACTATCCTGTTAATTTTAACTTTATGCCAATAGCTGTGAAAATAAATATTTTTATTGATAACCCAACATAAATAAATTTATAAATTATATTTTATTAAGTTAATTCAGTGATTATGTTTATCATTCGGTATTACAAAACCTATTAGATATAAGAATCAAGAAAATTTGTAAATTTCTTTTTTTTACCATCGTTTATTTAATTATGTAATTTAGTTAAATCATATTTGTACACTGTGACTCCCTAGGTAGTTAATTTAATACTTTGTATCATTTTATGTTAACCAAATAATATAAAAATAAAAAAAATAAAAAAAATATACTTTACCTGAGCAAGGACTACCGTAAATTAAAAATATGAGATTGTATGATGGCCATACCACTCATACGACTCATAGCTATGATCTATATATCTTGGAAGTTGGATTTTTTATTGTGAATTATATAATATACATATACATTTATATAATTAATTATGTAGTTTTAAAAAAACTTATGTATAAATCAAACAGGTAGTTTTACCTTATTACTTAACTATCGAAACCGTTCAAAATCAAGTGGATGAAATAGGTAGCTGAAATATGTGCTTGAAAATACATCACGATAAATATTAAAGATTATAATATTATTATATTTAGGTACCAGGTACCTATACAACCTTATACGGATTATCTTATAATATCTATTATCCGTCTCGTTGTATATTTATTTTTAAAGGCTCTGTCAAACAGAACGCATTATACGCACGTTGAAGCGATGAATGGCTCGTCGGAGTGGTGCTTTCACGCGAGTGAATAACGCGGCGTTGTAACAAATTACAAAACCACGTGGCGTGAAAATAATGCTTTCTGTTTGACAGAGCCTTTAACAAACAAATTGTTATTCTTATTATGATTTATGAGTTATGACTATAGCGAAATAACTATTATTCGCATCATTATATTATCCACAGGCAGTTCTTGAGGGAAACCGGCCTAGGTTGGGGCAAACTGGCAGCGAGCAGACTTCGCCGTTCGCCAGCCGTGCGGCAAGCGGTGCTGCAAGTGGTACGGCCAGCGGACGACCATGCGTCAAATTCATTGACTAGTTGTGCATTTTACGACAGAGACACCCGGCCACATTTGTTGATGGTGCCATGGCGACCCGGGTGGCCCGTGCTGTTACCGGCTTCCTGGATGTCAGCGGTGGTCACCAGACGCTGTTCTATACCGCGGCCGACAAGCGCACATCAGTTGCTGGACGACCAGACCATGATGCCGCTCGTTACAGGGGCCCAATCGAATCAGTGGACGATCATGGCCAAGTCTAGTTGGACCACGATCGGAAGACATCTTCGGACGTGTCCGACGTCACTTTTTTTTCGGTAATCGTTCTGACACCATTGGCCGTATTCTGGACGGCGGGCATGTAAATCGCTACCTCGAGACGTAAAGGGAACTCATATTTTGATGTAAGTACATACTACTACTATATAGCACTCAGCAGCGCAACTTGGCGTAAATGCATCTTCACCAATTTTTGTTTTTTTTTTCAAATTTTTCTAAGTTATAATAGGGTTTTGTTGTTATTTATATATTTAATAGAACATAGAAACATTTAATTTTATAAATAATCCATGAATTAATAAATCAGTAATAATAATAATAAGTATAGCGTACCGTAATAATATTAACATTCAAGAGTTAGACGCCTTTTGGATCGCTTCCACTAACACTGGCACTAACTGGCATAAACTGCCTTTAATGCATATTTCCCCAGCATCTAACCTTTAAATTCTTTTGTGTAGTAAGAATTTCAAAGTTTGCAATATTACCAATGTTAGGTTAAGTTCAAAGAACTGGATGCACCAGATGCACTGATACTAGATTCTGTTGATGCTATTTCCTAGTAACAAACAGTTTGAGAATGTCTACTTGTATAATAATATTTTCATTAATCTATTTGATTAACTATCCTAAAGTACCTAAGAATTAATGGAAGGTACAATAATAAATAATACTAAATAAGTACCTACTTTATCCCTCTGGATTTCTTCTCTTAACGTCCGTAGTATTTTCAAGAATTTGGATTGTGGTCCCATTTTTGGAATCAATCTAGCTACCAATTACCATTGATTCAGTCAAGTCTAAAAAAAGCCATTCTATTATTTCTTCCTCTAAAATAATTGTAATAAGTAACTTATTAATCAGTACTAACTCATTTAAAATCTTGATTAATGAACCTATATTTTTTGATACAATTTTAATATGATTTAGACTTTTAAAAACCTTTGAAACGGCTGACTAAATAGTCGAATCCCGATTCTTTTTTGATATTTTTCTGTGAATTTTTCTATATTATTCTAACCTATGACAAAAAATATTACTTTACATGAACAATAATAATTCAATAGTTATAATATTGACTCAAAGAAATAATGCCTATTGTACCTATCGACCTATTGAATATAAGGATTATAGTTATTAAAGTAAAAGATACATAACTGAAAATATCTGTTGACGTACATAAGTATCTACATAACCCTAAAAACGCTTCACGGTTCAATATTCTAGCTTTATTTTTATGTTGATTTTACAAAATTAAATAGTTAAAATATTTTAACTACCTATAGTCTTTGTTAAATAATTAATAAACCATAATATAAGTTGGTTTAACGCAAACATGGTTTATCAATAGTCAAGCAAGTAATAAATGTTCCAACTGATAGATATTGGTTATTATTATCATAAATATAGTTGTTCTAAAAATAATATACCAATGCTGTAATAAAATAACAATATTAGAATAGTTATTTAAACAGACACACAATAGTTGTAATTATAATACATTTAGTTGATATAACAATATTATTTTTAACAATGAATAAATTGTAAGTT